TGGCATTAGGGGTGCGAAAGTGTGCTCTATCTTAGAATGCTCTCAGAAGACATGCAAATTCTTGGATCTTTATCATATCCTAATATTTATCCAATAGTTTTATATTTATACTTTGTATAACTATAGATGTGTATTTATACTTTGATAAATATAAATGTGTAGAAGTTAAATAGTTAAGCAATCTGAGTCTTTAAAGGTACCACCTAGGCCTATTAAATTTACACTGCATTAAAATTAGCATAAAAATATAACATTTAGTGAAACAATATATGATCTAAATAATTTTCTTTCTTTCCTATGTTTTTTCCAAATAGAAGTATAGAAGTTTGATGAAACCTGTTCAAAATTCTGCTTAGAAGTTATATTGTGCTCTGAGGAGGTACAATCCTTAATGCTTTGGGAGGAAATTTTTACACATTCTCTAAATGAGTAGAACATGTCATAAAAGAAATAAATGTAATACCCAATTTCCAAAAATCACTTAAACATTGGTTGTTTAGAATTTAGGTTCAGAGGTCAACCTTCAAAAGGCAATTTGCTTCTCCACTGTTAGACAGAATATTATACATTTGAAATGAAAATGGTATGAAAGCAATAAAATTAAACTGAAAACAATAACAATAAAAAAGACCTTTGAAATTCAAGTCTTTGAAGACATGTGGTGGTTCACCTTTCCCAAAAGCCCCTCGTCTCTATCAAAACAAATTAGACAGTGATGGAGTTTGGATTACTGTCCTCCCAGAACTCATGTGGAAGTATAATCCCCAGTGTGGCAGTGTTGAGAGCTGTTTCAGTCATGGGGCAGATCCCTCATGAATGGATTAATGCTCTCCTTGGCGGGTGGGAGTAGTAAGTGAGTTCTTGCTCTATTAGTTCCCGTAAGAGCTGGTTGTTTATAGGACCCTGGCACCTCCTCTCTCTCTCTCTCCGCTGCCTGCCATTTTCTGCCGTGAGTAGAAGCAGCCTGCGGCCTGCACCAGATGCAGCTGTCCCAGAATCATGAACCAAATAAACCTCTGTTCTTTATCAATTACCCAGTCTCAGGTATTCTGTTATAGCAACACAAAATGGACTAATACAGACAGTGACTCATTGTCGTCCCTTCCTTCTCTCCATAAGACTTCTCTGACTCATAATCTATAAATTTGGACTATGCTTTAACCCATTGTCACACTAACTAGGAGAAAACAGTAAGTTACAACTCTTTCCTTCTATTTATTAGTGAACCACTTAACAATAATCCCAGTATCTACACAGTGCTTGACACATACTTAGCTGAATGAATAAAAACACAACATACCTAAAGGGATTTAAAAATAAATATTATATAGTCCTTTCCCTCAAGAAGATTTTAAAAGTGTATGGAAGAGATAAGCACAAAAGCAGTTCTGGTGTCAGCACATTATGATACCCAAGTGTGTAGTGACAAGCATCACAATGGTTCACTTAGAGTTTTAGAATCTAACCCTACCTAATTCATTCATTCATTCAAAAATACAGAGCCCCCTACTATGTGTCAGGTGTGTTGTTAGGTGAAGGGTACAAAAATGTCTATGATGCAGATAGCCAATGCCCTCAAACTACTCTTATAGTTACTGTCTGATGACTATCAAAAACTAGATGCCTGACCCCTGATGATCCTTTAGCTTCCCTTGGCACAGTTTCGGTATCTGCCAATGAACATAACTATACCTAAACTTCACTAATTGTAATCAGCTGTAAAGAATGAATATATGAGAAAGGCCTTGGAAATTAAAACCACTCTACAAACACACAATACTGATGCGTTATCACTGTACTTTAATTGAAATATGCCATGCATTCCCTATTATTTTAAGTATTTTGTTTATGAGCACCAAACAGTGGGTGCTCAATAAAATACTGAATAAATAAAGGAGGTTTAACTACTTTTTGGACAGCACAAAGTCATCACTGAAAAGCAACTGTAAGCAATATGGACACCAATAATTTTAAAAGCAAATATAGTTTTGTAACTTAAATAATCACCACTTTCATTTGTTTATAAATTCAAATTTTCATATATGATCTTTCTGCAAGCAGAATATATTTATACACAATTTTCTATTTCTATAGTGTGTATCTTTTCCATATGAGGCTGGTTTATAAGTGATTACAAAATAAAAATAAAATAAATATATACTGAGTACCTATAAAGTACAAAGCACTGTGCAAATTATTTTAGCACAGTGTTCTTAACTTCATTTTCTTTTTCCAAATGACACAAAATGAAATAATCTGGATATGCTTGTCTCATTTTCAACAAACTATTCTCTAACACCTTCTATCTGTCACAGTTTCTGTTCTGGGATCCACTCATTGAAATAGAAATAATCCCTGAAAATCAACTTCACAAAAATTTTCTTCCACCAAAAGTTTTTAATGAAGGGACTTGGAAGAGAACAGGAGATTTTTTAAAAGTAACATGGAGAAAGCAAAGGAGGAAGGGAGAGAGAGAGGAGGAAGGGAGAAAGGCAGGAAAATTTTGTTTTAAATAGTCTTAAGGTCCATGCTGCAGAATTTTGCTGAACATGAAGTAGTACATGATGTGAGAAATTGGTTAATGGACACAAGGAATGATCACATTTTGTAATGACAAACATGCTAATTATCCTGATTTTATCATCACGTATTGTACACAGGAATTGATATTCAACTCTGTACTCCACAAATACGTTTAATCAATTATTTTTCAATTAATAATAATAATAATATTGAGATATATCGTTTGATAAACTCCCTTAGAAAGAGGAGGTAAAGAGGATCTCACCGGACTAGACAGCAGAATTAAAGGTTCCTCCTTACAGAATTCCATTACACACTGCCCGCACCCATTCACTACTCCTGCATTCTTCCGTGGTTACTTCTGTACTTGCCCCTGCCACTAGATGGTAAACTCCAAGTCACCTCTCACTCAGCTTCCTTTCATTCACAGCCTCATCCACAGGCTCTAGCCCTCTGCAGATTAAAGTCGAAAGCATCCCCTTATACAATCAAATTGGGGGAGGGGCGGCAACACCTGAGCAGTGTTTCAGTTACATGTTGCTATTTTCAACAATAATTTAACCCTTTAGTATATGTATTAAAGAGTTTAAAGTATTATTTGATTAACTAAATACAGAAAACAGAGATTTGGAAGATAGGGAATGACACATTTAAATATTTATCAAAATTCAACAGTTCCTTCCACAGGAAGACTAAAATGGTAAGTAAAATTTTTCATCTTCTAAGACCTGTACTCAATTTCATATCTCACAGAGATCACACATTTTTACAACATATTAGTATGCTTCATTGTATTGCACGTTGAAATTTGATGTGTTTTAAGCAAAGCTCGGCCACATGTTTTGTAAGTGTTAAACATCTCTGTTTTCAAATGCTTGAGGTTTGTAATAACTGAAATATGCGGTGTCAAACTTTGTTCTTGATATTAAATACTACATCTGTTTTGAGAAGAAGATACCTATCTCTGACTTATTTTTTCTCTCCTTCTCTCCCTCCCAATCCACACATATATGCATGCACATACACACGCACTGATATACACTTACTTTAAGAACTATTTCATATTTTAGTGAGAACGTACTCTTTAAAATATTTACCTCTTTTTATTATTAAAATCATGTAAGAAAATTACAGAAACTAAAAATTAGAGTGAGGAATATTATCTACATTTCTAGCATCATAAAATTTTAATAATAATTATTTTTATACTATATAGAATCTTGTTACACCAACAACATTCCTCCAAACTAGCATTTTTGTTTTAATATAAAAGGTATTCATATAGTAAAAATTATACATAAAATTAATTGCCACCGGAGGAATATTATCTACATTTCTAGCATCATAAAATTTTAATAATAATTATTTTTATACTATAAATATAGAATCTTGTTACACCAACAACATTCCTCCAAACTAGCATTTTTGTTTTAATATAAAAGGTATTCGTATAGTAAAAATTATACATAAAATTAATTGCCACCATAAACACAATATTCAGTGAAATGAGAAGTCAAGTTTGGCCAAATATAAATTCATTTAAAACCAAAATAAAAATAACACTACAATATTCAAATCACAGATATATATTCAATTTGAGGGAAGTTGTACTAGATTTCACATCCCTTTTGAGCCTATGTTTCTTTTTTCATAAACGTAACTGCTGCTTAAGCAGTCTCTATGTTAAAAATAAATGCATTTTAGGGACTAAGAATACAACATACAAATGGAACCCTCCTGTAGACAGCTACTTTGCAGAAAATTAAAAGCACAATGTGGTTGGAATCCCAGGAACCCAAAAGTTAAAACTGTGTCTCTCTACTCTGTTTCTCATTTCTCTAATAATTTAAATCCAACACGTACTTGTTCTACTACCAAAAGCTTCATGACAATAAATGTTCTGTTAGAGTTTATGAGTGTGAATGAAAAGTCAAACGCCAGGTCAATAGTCCTTTCCCTACTATGCATATATAAAAAGTGTTCTAAGATTTCTTTTTGTAAAACAAATAGAATAAATATATCTTTGAAATACATACAAACAATATTTTTCTAATAATCAGTAATAATCATTAAATAAAAGCAAGTGTACCTGATTTCTGCATAAGTGTGGTCATATCTAAATCAAGTGAATTCTCAAGAATTACTTGTCAAGTTTTTTTTTTTAAGTCAAGAATCTTCCTTTTGCATTTACTTCTTTCTAGTTAGCTTGTAAAACACATAAGTGTGGTCATATCTAAATCAAGTGAATTCTCAAGAATTACTTGTCAAGTTTTTTTTTTAAGTCAAGAATCTTCCTTTTGCATTTACTTCTTTCTAGTTAGCTTGTAAAACAGACTAAAAGTCTGACAATTAAAATGTTAAACATTTGCCTACTTTATATTTTGCCATCTAGAACATATTAAATGCTTGGTTTTTTGCCATAAGTTAGAAAAAGTTGGTTTAAAATTAGTCTACACTCAATCTGAATGAGATCTTACCTTCTGGTTTGTTGTTTTTCCTCTTCAGCCATTTTTCTACAGTTTCTGCACTAACACTTTCAGATACAAATTCATCTAAAACCTGGGGGTGAAGAGAAAGATATGCCTTCACTTTTTCATCTGTCAAACCTGTAAAAGAATTGAAAAGAGTAAAATTCACCTATACAACATCTTCATATATTTGAAAGATATTTTACAATGACACATTATGCTAAGAACCAGTACCCTCTTTTCTACCAAAGAGGGCTAGAGAGAGCAGAAATGGGGAGTTACTGCTTCATGGCTCCAAAGGTTCTGCTTGGAGTCAAGGCAAAGTCTTGGAAGTAGACAGGGCGATGACTGCATTGTTGGAGAAACAGACTAGGCAAGAAGCGACCCCACACTTGGAGGGTTGGAGAGCCAGCAGTTTATTACACTAGCGGGCCCAGACAGACGACTGCCTGAAAAAATCTGCACCCTGAGCCCAGGTCCCACAGGGCTTAATATAGGCTAACTTCTCCAAGTTTTTTGGTTTTGCTTTCTCAGCATTCATGTGGTCTAGGCACATAAGCAAGTTACAGAAGCCAAAATGCAAGCAGTGTTTAGAGGCCAGACCAGTGCAACAAGCAAACATTGTTTCAAAGTCAAAATATTACTTCAAGGACAAAACAGGCTTATGAGAAAGTTACTTTGGCATTTTTTCCCAACAGCATGACACTATGAATATAATTAATGCCACTAAACTGTACGTCTGAAGTGGTTAAAACAACATTTTTTATGCTATGTATATATTTACCACAATAAAAAGTAATTTTAAAAAATAATGTAAATTTAGAAATTTAGCGATTTTTTAATTATAGATATTTCATCACATTATATAGCTGTTTTCCAACAGCTTTGTAAATTTTAGTGTTACGTAAAAACTGATTCTGTGATAAAATGTTGTGCATTAAACCTTACAAAGAGCTTATTTGTTTGTAAACAGTTATAAATTTACTAGTCAAAGCAAGAGATAGTAGCAAATAGGAGAATCTAGCATTGAAACATTATAGCTGCTAAAAAAAGTGTTTAATAAATAAATAAACTCCTATCTTTTATTGCCTTACAACACAAATTCTTCCTTTTCTCAGAGGCACTGAACCCAATGGTATAACAAATGTTCAGTTCAAAGAATCTTGACATTTGCTCATTGAAACTCTAGACAGTTTTACAGAAATATTTTCAGTCTAATGATAACTATTAAATATACATAGCATTTTCAAACATGTTTTCATATTGAACATATAAAATTACATGTTTTCCAATTGGTGCTTCATGTTGGTATGCCATTTCATTAAACAACCTCAAATACAAACAGGCTATGAATAATTATTCTCAGTGATGGTAATTATTTTTACTACTGCATCTCCTCTGTGAATTATTTAAATAAATTATCCTCCTTAGAGATTATGAGATAAAAAAAGGCAATGAAAAATTGTACTTCGAGACAGAAAAGAAAGGAAGCATATCTTTATGACTTCAGGGAGTAGGCTGTATGTCTTCCCAAACAGACAAGCACAAAATTTATATGTGTTTTAATTAATTCTGCAGGGAGCTAAAGTCACAACTGTTAGGATTCTACAACAGAATGGTATCATTGAGAAGGCAAATGATTTCTTTCAATGAAATCAGTACTTAAATAGTCAATTTAAAGATACATATATAAAATATAAATATAGTTGTATTAGAGAAAAGAAAAATAAGACCCCTGTCTAGATTCACCCTGCAAAAGAGCGTGGTGGTGTAAAATTCAGTTTGAGAAATCCTAAAGGTAGTAAAGACGCCGACTCATTAGAGTTTCACCTCCTGACAGAGCAAGTTGTGGTCCCAACATACAAAAGGCACAGGGTGTTGAAGTGAGCCGATAGCATACTTGACCTCTGAGAAGACAATGTCAATTTCATACTCTCTTTGATTATGTCCTACATAGTGGGACATACTCAACACCTGACTCCTTCTTAAAGCTTCCTTCCATCAGTTACAAGACATAGCACTGTACAGTTCTTACATTAACTTTCTAACTGCTCTTGATTTCTGTTTCCTCTTCAACAATCCATGATGAAGGCACCAAAACCTGAATCGGGAATCTTAATACATTTTTGATTTCCAGTCCTCAGATATTTTTCCATCACCTCAATCAAGCTCTAACTGAAGTCAAAAACTAAATGAGTCATTTCCTTCCTACTTTTTCCCAAAGAGATTTTAAATCACAATTTTCCTTTTTCTGTTACTATTACTCTCCATTTCCCCAGAAACCCAGGCTGAAAACACAAAATTATAAATGACTCATCCCTCCTTGTCATCACATTCCATCTTAGTGGATTATCATACTAGTTCTATTTGCCAAATTACTTCTCAGATATACAAAAAAACTCTTAAACCTCAACAATAAGAAAACTAACAACCCAATTAAAAGATGAACCAAAAATCTGAACAGACACCTCATCAAAGAAGATATAGATATGACAAATAAATATATAAAAAGATACTCATTTGTCATTAGTGAATTGAAGTTAAAACGAAAATGAGATTCTACTACACACCTACTAGAATGGCTAAAAGCCAAAAACCTGAAGGCACCAATTGTTGGCTTGATTGCAGACCAACAAAAATTCTCATTCATTGCTGATAAGAATGCAAAATGGTACAGTTACTTTGGAAGACTGGCAGTTTCTTACAAAGCTAAATTCAGTTTTTCTGTTTGACCCAACAATCACACTACTAGGTATTTACCTAACTGATACAAAAATGTGTGTCTATACAAAAACCTGCATGTGAGGGGAGGAACTGGTAAAGGGACATGAAAATCAACTACATTGTATATTAGTAAATTAAAAAATAAAATAAAATTTACAAAAACTAATTTTTAAAAAGACCCCTGCACGTGAATGTTTATGGCAGCTTTATACATCATCATCCATATCTTGAAGCTCCTAAGATATCCTTCAGTAAGCAAATGGATAAAAAAAACTGTCGTACAACCATACAACTAAATATTATCAGCAATAAAAAGAAATGAGCTATTAAGCCATGAAAAGACATGGATGAGTCTTAAACACACATTGCTAAGAGAAAAAAAGCCACTCTGAAAAGGCTACGTATTATATAATTCCAACAATATAACATTCTAGAAAAGCCAAAACTATAGAGATAGTAAAAAGATCACTGATTGCCAGGAGTTCAAGTGGAAGGAAAGAAGGTTGAATGGATGAAACAAGCACAGGGGATCTTGGAGGGTGATGAAACTATTCCACATGATACTATAATGATAAATACATGACACTATGCATTTGTCAAAATCCACAGAACTTTATAGCACAAAGAATAAATTATAATGCAAGCAAATTTTTTAAAAAATCCCTTAGAAGGTTAGGGGATCCCCAGGATGGAAGGAAGAATGTGACAAATGAATCTAAGCATTATAAATGTATATGAAACAACTTCACTGAAGGGGGTGGAGAGATAAGGTGCTGACCTGTATTATTTTGAAAATGAGTGAAGTTTGTAAGACCAAATACAAAACAAACTGTTTATAAGCACTATACTCTAGTTGATAAAGTTGTTATTCCATGAGGGTAGAGTTTAACAATTCTGAGCTTAACATGACTGTGCATACATGCTTAAATGGGACAATTAAATAAACGGTTGTTAGATTGTGGGAATAAGATTTCTCAATGGTAGAGTGGGATGTTACAGATAAGCAAGACAAAGAGTTTAGAATGATCCACGTGGTAATGGATTAGAGCTGGAATATCAGTATGAACTTATGTATGACAGCACAGATACAGATGTTTACATATAGAAATACTGGTAGATAGTATACATGAGGGTACTTCTAAAGTTCATGCGAAAGATTTATATTATCTTTTAATTCTAATTTTCCATGAACTTTTTGAATTACCTTCATATACTTGGGTTAGTACACAAATATTTTACCTTTCTATGTTAGCTGAGAAGGCCTAGAAGCAACAACATCCCAGTACTAATGAGCACATGTAGCACCCAGCTCTTGGTTTCTAATACCATTTCCAATAAAAGGTTAATAATTTTAGGAGAGGAACAGAAAATACATAAGATAAGCTTGGAACAGCCAATGACTGAAAATTTGCCACCAATAATCCATAAAAAATCATACAAAAAGACTACTAAAAATAACTATTGCAAGGTAACATGTATATTTGATCCAATAAGGTTAATAATTTTAGGAGAGGAACAGAAAATACATAAGATAAGCTTGGAACAGCCAATGATTGAAAATTTGCCACCAATAATCCATAAAAAATCATACAAAAAGACTAATAAAAATAACTATTGCAAGGTAACATGTATATTTGATCCAATAGTTTAAAATATTGTGTTTCTGCTAATAAACAACATCCTTTCATCTCCGCAATATTTTGCCAGAGTGCAAACAGATAAGACTAATTAAACTGACTTTGATTTTTCAACATCTGGCAGGGGTGCCAATGAGCAGGAGCTGGTTTAAAGCCAGGAGAGAGAGAAGCGAAGCACAAGGGCATTGATAGACTGAATGATCAGACTAAGTCACAAAGAGCTGGATGAATTTTACTAATTTTCACAATACAATTTACAAGTGCCCACCAATAATGTCATGAAGGATTACAATCTAAACAAAACCAAAGCTGAAAAGCAGAATGATGCGTCTAATGGTTAGATTTAAGTAACTCTGAAAATGTATAACAAAAGGCATAATAAACACTGATAAAGATTTTAGTAAAGGTAACTGTTTCTGTGGCTGGTAATTCAGCCAGCAACCTGGGGTGTAGATAAAGAATAGATTTATTTTGATGGTGAGTAATTCTTTTAAAGAAATAGACAAACAGATCGATAAAAGTCACATCAATTTCTCCTACTTCAACCTTTTGTTATTGAACCACACAGTAGTAATGAAAAGAATTAGCACCATTTGGGTTTCCAGGCAGGTAATGCAAAATATCAATAACAAAATACTAACATCAATGATGATACATTTTTATGTCTTTTTAAATAGTAGCATTAAGGCTACCTTTCTTCTGCCTTCACAGAAATCTTACAA